CAGAGATTGCTTCTGTGAGAATAAAATGAGTATGTCTGCATGTGCGTCTGTGTGTGTGTGTTTTTAGATGGGCTGTGTATTATTACAGGAAGGAAAGGAGGGACAATATTATAGAGTAGATAAAAGGAGGAAGTAATATTATAGGAGGAAAAGTGGGATAGTGGAATGCAGATGATGGAAAGAGTTTAGCGAAAAAAGGGAAGAGGGATGAAATATCCAGCGGAGGAGAAAAAGAAAAGGAGTCAGGGAGGAAGGAAGAGATGAGGGACAAATGGCAGACAGAAGGAGTCAATCCTCAAATCTGGAAATACCACATGAAAATACTGTGCTACAAGTAAAAGTCACGCATTTAAAACGTTACTCAAGTAAAGGCACAAATGTATTAGGATCACTATAAACATACTTAAAAGTAATTTTGGATTATAATTATTGGTGCATTACACTGTAAAAAAGGATTCTGTGGTCATGTAGATTTGAGTTAATATATTAGGTAAAATATATTCAATCTGTTTGTGTTTTTGATTTTGAGGCAAATATTTAATTGAATTTCAAATAAAAATGTTTGGAATAAAATCCACCAATTGTAGTTAAATAAAACATAAGCATTATATTTATCTTATCCCAAATAGAGAGAATATTGAGTGAATTCAAATGAATGTAATCAGGCAAATGTTAATTGAAAAGCACTTCCTGTCAAAAATTCCCATGATGCATGGCGGTGAAGGAAGTGTTGTAAAAATAAGCTAATAAGTCTCCTATTTTAATTAAATCAAACATTTATTGACGATATATTGAACATTTGTCATATTGTTCTTGAGGAAAATTATATCGCGATAATTATCATTATTGTTTTATTGGTTTGAAACTTACTGGCCCGGAGACAATTTTTACTGGCTCCTTCCAAAAGTTATTTATCAGTATTACAACAAAACCAAAGACTTATAAGTTTATGTTATACTGTTAACATGTTTAATCAGTTATTAAATACATCCTGGATATAAAAAAACTAAAATTATAAAAAATAAAAAGGTTTACAAACAATTTACTTTTGAAACCAAACATACTAACAGACTCGAACATGACGCTCTCTCTCCTGCTGACAAAATGTACAGAGAGCAGCGGATACTAGTTGCCTCTATCCTGATTGACAGGTCGCCATGGTAGCGATATTAGCATGGTAGCATATTCTGCATTAAAGTCTATTTCCCCCTAAATGGGACCATAATTTACTAAATGAACATCACGCTGTGTTGAAGAAGACTTGAAACTAGCGACTGAGACCATAAACTCATCAGGAAAGTGTTTACTGAGGGAATAAATCAGCTGACAAGTAGAAACATTTTACCATTATTCTAATGGAACCGGACTTCTTTTTGCAGCCAGCGGACTCGCCCCCTGCTGGTCGTTAGAGAGAACGCAGGTTTATGTTCCATCTGCACGGTTTCCCTTTCAGACCCAGAGGTCGCCGCTTGCTTAAGATTAGAGAAATAACATTTGACAACCACTCGTCACATACCGACAAATCTGGATTGGACAACGGTGCGCGGCATGAGCTGCAAAGCATCTGCAGGATGTTGAGTTTCTAATTTATTTATTTTAAATACTAATGTTTTGATCGGGCCAGTGAGTTGCTAGCTCAGCTGTCCCGCCCCGGGCCATCGGGCCACCGTTACTGTCGAGCTGTTGTTGTGATGTTAGCTATAGTAGCAGTAGAGTTGTGAGTATCGCTGGAGCTGGTGTGCTGGCTCTGGGGCCGTCTCATCCTCTCTGCATGTTAGCTTTCCAGCAGCAACTTTGCTAACCCACAACCTGGCTAACGTTGGTTACATTACTTGCTGTGTCATTGTTGGCTCTATACCATGGTGTTTGTCATGTAATTGTATTTCTCCAGAATTGCTTACTCCACCTTTAACATGCAATTTCCTGAACAAGATTAAACTTCCAGACAGATCCAGACATGTTAACACCACGTGGGTTGGGTTTTAATCCAAAAGAACAGCGTTTAAACAGAATTAAAATGTGAACTCCAGTACTGACACAAAGAGAATATGTGAACCATGTCAATGCAGAACCTCTTCAGACACAAAAGAGAATCTTCTGTCACGTTCCTGTCCTGTTGCTTATAAAACTTTTTCAGAGAATCAAGAGAAACAAGAATGAAAAGGTCATACAAAGCCTGTATGTGTCAGGTCACACAGGACATCAAGACCACAAACGACTTTAGTTCAACAGTGAAAGGAGCTGCTCCGCCTGACAGCGTTGGGTGTCACGCTTCATCCATTGAGCCACAGCAATATTTCAATTCTCACAGAGATAAAAAGAAGAGAAACAGCTCATAAACTGTGCGAAGAGGAGAGAATCCTCCAGAGCTTTGATAGATACCTCATGATAGGGTATACATCTCAATTTGAGAGTGAAATTGGTAGCCGAAATATCACAAGATAAAGAGAAAAGCTATGGCGGAGGATGGGAGACAAACAAAATGACCTTGAACTCAGAAATAAAAGCAGCGGAGATGAGAAGGAAGGCATCAAAACAAAACAACTCATTAAAATCAAACAAATGACTATAGGGAGGGAGGGAGAGAGGTGACACTGAGGGAAACACAACTTGTATTGGGAGGAAGAGGCAACAGGAAGTAAGAGAAAGAGAGAAAACAAGACATGGAGAAAGTAATAACGAGTAATATGGTGCGAAAGCGTGTGTTCGTTTTCATTGTCAAATAAAATCCAAGCACAGCCTCATTCACAATTTCTCTTGACAAGGAAAGTGAAAATGTAAAAAAAAACAAAAAACAAATCAAACAATCAAATCAACAGGGGTTACAGTACGATCAGAGCATGTTTGGTTTCAGGTAAATAACCTTATAAAGATTTATATTGTGAAGGGATTATGCGATAGCCGGAGTCTCATAACTTCTCATTAAGCTAGCTGATGAAATCACGGAAATATTAATTCTAGTTTTGGCTGAGCTGTGAATCAACCCGCACTGTCCATTACTAGCTTGGTGACGGTTCATCATTCCCAAACATACAAACAATTAACTTTGCTTACTTGCTCCGCTAGTGTTTCATCATATCATAAGACAGAAGAAGAAGTCAAGGTAGCCAGAATGTGCTAATCGAGGACTGAACAGCAACGGGTGATACGGTTTAAATCATTATCACAATATTTTTCTGTATAGTAAGTCTATATGGTATATTTACAGTAAGTGGGAATGGGTGCTGCAGTGGATAAGAAACATGCCTTTGGTGTGAGAGACCCGGGTTCAAGTCCATTGTGCACCAATGTGTCCCTGAGCAAGACACTTAACCCATAGTTGCGTCAGAGGCGTGCGACCTCTAAAATATATAGCAATTGTAAGTCGTTTTACATAAAAGCGTCAACTAATAACACGATATGAAAAATGTCTGCAAAAGCACATACAGTAATCATATTGATGGTCCACTGTTGCATGTTTTACAAAACATTTCAAACTTCTAAAGTAGTCAAAGTACTATTAATAGTAGTACTACAGTTTTGCTTGGAAAGAATGTTGTAAAACATACAATATGACGATATGATTCCAATAAAATGTGATGAAAGTTAACGCTGAATATTCACTCGTCGACGGAGTGTTGATGATGGGAATTAGGATGATGGCTGCAGGCTGTTAAAGGTTATGGGCGGGAATTCATGTTCAGTTTGGGATGAACTATGACAGTATGAGGTTTGTTCGCAACTGCAACTATGAGCTCTCACACCTCTGACTGACTTGTCCATAGTAATGACGGCAACAGCTCAAGGGCGTTGTGGTATTTAGAGCGACGTTCAAACTGAGTGACTAACACTCTGTAAAAACACAATTTGAAATAATTTAAACTGATGGCCATAACATCAACCTGTGGCACTGTTACATTACACATGACTCTCCTGTACCTCTGTGTTGAGGAACATTGCAGATATCATTGAAAGGGTTACTTGCACCTCGCACTTCGCTCCACTTCTAATAAAACATCACATTCTCACTCTCGACTCGTCACATATTGACGCTTGGTCAAGGCCCTTTGGCGTTGCTTTTTAAAGCCCCGGGTATCCCTTTAGTGTCATTTTTAGACGTTTAATGCTTCACGGTCAAGTTAGCGACGCTTAGCAACAATAAATATGCAACGTCCGGTTAGCCTTTCAAAATAAAACGCCAGCGTGCAGTTTGGTAAGGTTTAGGCACAAAAAGTATTTGGTTAACGGTTCTGGCCCTCCATCCACCCCAACTACCTCCTTACTTAGTCTTTTCTGTTAAATATTACATACCTGCCTTGACGCTTCAGGGCTTCCCACACTGCGTTGAACTCTGACGCTACAGGGATCCCCAGTGCATTACAAACTGACGCCGATGGGTCTTGACCATGTGTCCATATGTGACGAGAACGGGTTGAACAAAATTGAATAACAGGAACATACAGCCCTGTGTGTGTGTATGTGTGTGTGTACTTTAAAGGCTCTTTGCACAGTGGGATTTAACAGTGAATGCCTATTTCATTCAACCCGAGGTAGCAGCACTGCATACCTGCAACACCAAGGGGTCTGAGTGGCTGTGTCTGGGGGATCGGGGGCAGGACCGGATGAGTGAGTGTTCATTAAAGTGTATTTGTAACGGACGAGTGTTCAGTTGCTTCAGGCAGGCTGAACGAGCTGTGTCTGCATGGCTTACTAAAGTTGTTCACTGCCTGTCCCCTTTCGCAGCAGTGATCTGTTTCAGATTTCAATTTCAAACAAACTTCAGATGAAACTCTACTCTCTCTCTCTCTGTCTGTCCTCCCCCGTCTCCCCTGGCTGCACTACTATGTACCGTATTTAACTGAATTCAATCATTACAGCAGCAACAAACACCATGTGTGACGTTACATGTCCCTTCGCTTAACCTTGCAGGTGTTGGGCCTACAGAGCTGTTTGTCTCTACCAGTCCTGCATGTCACTGGTTGTCCTCCCACCTCCCTCATCCTGTACTTGCAGCTACTCACCAATGACAGGGGCCGCTCCTCTGAGAAAAGTGGAGTTTGGCTCCAGGCACCAGCAACAAATCAAAAAAGGAGGGTAGGAGGTGGAGTATTGGTTTGGGCTTAGAGATTGGTGGGTTGTGGGTTTGATTGACAGTTTCTTGTGTGTTATTGGGAGATGGCGTCATCGTCATGGGTGGGATTTAAGTCCACTACAGTCGTCCCTCGAAGAGAAGCTCCTCCCATCCCCTCTGTTGATGATGATGGTTGGGAGTTTTTATTAGCGCCTCCACCTAGGAGACAACAGGATGGAGTCAGGTTATTAGGAGCAGATGAAGAGGAGTGACATATTTTCTTTTCCTCGTCCATATTTTCTGCAGTTACCCTGCCCTGCAGAGGAGGAGGACGGCGGCAGAGCGAGGACGTTGGCTCCCCCTCCTCCTCCTCCGTTGGTCTGGGAACAGACGTTGGCATGGCGCGCGGCGGCTTTCTGTTTGTAGTGGTTACTGTGCAGCTTGTACTTCATCAGGAGGATGAAGATGAAGACCAGGACAGAGGCAACGATGATCCCCCCGATGATGATAATCATGGTGCCTCCCAGGAACTGGAGAAAAAGATCAAACACATGCAGACAGTTAGCCTGGAGTGCAGATCCTACGATTTAATAAGCAGCAGTCATCGTTTTACAAGTCCGAGTCAAGTCTCAAGTCTTAGCACTCAAGTCCCAAGTCGAGTCCCAAGTCCAGACCGATCATGACTGGCAAGTCTGAAGTCAAGGACCAACAAGTCCCAGTCAAGTCCAAGTCTTAAACTTTTGAGTTTCTAATCCAAACAAGTCATAACGCGCTCTTCAAAAGTTTTTACAAGTTAAAAATAAAAAAATGTATTGAATGAAGCTTTAGCCGGTACACAAAGAAGGCAGAGGTGCAGTTTCACACAACAGATGTTCTATAATTTCATGAATTAAATTAAATGTTCATGTAGGGCTGCTAATTATTTTGGTCAATATTGAGATCACAATTATTTAACAGAATTACTCATTGCCTTAGGAAACATTAAACTATTGAACTTCTAACATGTAATACTTTCTTTTTAAAAACTATTATATATGCATTACTCCACAATCTCATATAGCCCATGAAATAAGAAACAATAATCCAACATTATTAACTTTAAGCAGCATCTACAGTGCAAGAGGTAGCAGCACAGTTTCAGCACACAAACATTTTCCTCTGAAATGCGCTTTGTAAATATGCATTGGCATTAGCTTGTTTTGGGTAATATAGAACAAATCTACAGATGCAAATAGACAGAGGGTATTAGGCTTAAAATAATATAGTATTCTTGAAGTTTTATTTCCATTAGAGTAAAAGAAGACACGGAAGCAAAATAGACCACTCCATGAAAAAGTGCCTTAAAGAGTAACTTCATAGTTTTAATGGTCGGCTCCTCATCTAACAACTCTCAATTCTATTAGTTTGTTGTATGCTGACAGATCTTTACATAATACAGACAGCCCTCCCTCAAATGTGAAACTAAGTCCATGTCACCATCAGTAATTGTGTGTGTGTGTGTGTGTGTGTGTGTGTGTGTGTGCATGTGGTAAATGTAATATAATAGCAACAATAATAAAGTATTTGATCAATACATTAATGTATTCAGGCAGTTCAGTATTCCGTTGCTTGGCTGTGTGAAGCTGAAGGTTATCTTTGCTAATTTGGCATCTTGCTTGTAAAACAAAGAGTAAAAGTATTTAAATAAAATTTTAATTCTGCCTCCAGCCCAATGCCACAGTTTAGTGTGAAGATTTATGTGAAGTATTATGTATTCCAATAACACCAAAAGAATTGAAACGATTTATTGCCTTGTGAAAAATAAAGAAATTATTAATGAAACTATGTCATGGAGTTCCTCAAGGATCTGTCCTTGGACCAATCCTCTTCACTTTATATATGCTTCCTTTAGGCAATATTATCAGGAAACATTCCATAAGCTTTCATTGTTATGCAGATGATACTCAGTTATATCTATCGATCAAGCCAGATGAAACTCATCAGTTAGCTAAACTTCAAATGTGCCTTCAGGATGTTAAAACCTGGATGACCTGTAATTTTCTCATGTTAAACTCAGATAAAACTGAAGTTATTACTCTGGGGCCTAAGCACCTCCGTGACGCATTATCTAAAGATATAGTTTCCCTGGATGGCATCGCCTTGGCCTCCAGCACCACTGTGAGGAATCTTGGAGTTATCTTTGATCAGGACATGTCGTTTAAGTCTCACATTAAGCAAATTTCAAGGACCGCCTTTTTTCACCTACGTAATATTGTGAAAATCAGGAACATCCTGTCTAAAAATGATGCAGAAAAACTAGTCCATGCATTTGTTACTTCTAGGCTGGATTACTGCAATTCCTTATTATCAGGCTGCTCGAAAAAGTCCATTAAGACTCTTCAGCTGATCCAGAATGCTGCAGCACGTGTTCTGACAGGAACCAGGAAAAGAGATCACATTTCTCCTGTTTTAGCTTCTTTGCATTGGCTTCCAGTAAAATCCAGAATAGAATTTAAAATCATTCTTCTTACCTACAAAGCTCTTAATGGTCAGGCACCATCTTATCTTAAAGAGCTCATAGTACCTTACTACCCCACCAGAGTCTCCAAAAGTAGACTAGGAGCCAGAGCGTTCAGCTATCAAGCTCCTCTCCTGTGGAACCAGGTTCCAGTTTGGGTTCAGGAGGCAGACACCATCTCCACATTTAAGAGTAGGCTTAAGACTTTCCTCTTTGATAAAGCTTATAGTTAGGGCTGGCTCAGGTGAGTCCTGAACCATCCCTTAGTTATGCTGCTATAGGCCTAGACTGCCGGGGGATTTCCCATGATGCACTGAGCTCCTCTCTCCTCTACTTTCTCTCCCTCTGTATGCAACCTTATCCCATTATTGCATGTTACTAACACAACTTCTCCCCTTTCTGGTAGTCTTGTGCTTTCTCGTCTCTCTCCTCTCTCCTATCACTTCCTGCAGGTTTTATGGCTCTGGAGCTGTGGAGTCTGGATCTGTGGTTGCGGGTCACCTGCTGCCCCCGTGTTCCTGCTCGACACCCTCTGCTACAACAACTATTGTTGCTAGTCTTATTGTTATTATTGTTATTATAATCATTAACATTACGATGGTTACCATTAACACTATTATAAATATCTGTACCATTTTTCATTTAGTCTATAGCAACATCACCTTTACTGTCTGTACCTCTGTGTGTATATTGTGTAGGCTGCCTCCCTCCCCTCTCTCTCTCCTTACATCTCTCTCTCCTTACATCTCTCTCTCTCTCACCCCAACCGGTCGAGGCAGATGGCCGCCCACCCTGAGTCATGGTTCTGCTCGAGGTTTCTGCCTCTTAAAAGGAAGTTTTTCCTTGCCTCTGTCGCCTAGTGCTACTCTTGGTGGGAACTGTTGGGCTTCTGTAAATAACATCACAGAGTACGGTCTAGACCTGCTCTTTTATGAAAAGCACTGTGAGATAACTGTTGTTGTGATTTGGCGCTATATAAATAAAATTGAAATTGAATTGAATAAATATATCCTTGAAACTAGTAGCAAAGAAAACATGCACATTGTGGCGTAGTTTGCGTTTCTGTCGCCTGCTCCTGTGATAAACCTAGTGAATACTAAAGACGACCGTTGTCTCTGTGTGAACTGATTATTTTGTAGAAGAGTAAAAATGTTGCTGAGTTAATATATTTGTCTTTTTTTCACTTGAGCCCCTGCCCACCAAAATGTCTGTGCACGTCCCTGCAGAACACTGAAATACAACCGTGGTGTTTTGTCGGGAGAAGCAGTGACAGAAACCAGCGGTGAGAAAACCAGAGGCGTGCGATCACAAACTGTTCACAGCGCGCTGCTAATAGGCCTACTACACAACCCACTGAAGTCACTGGAGAGGGAATGGGTCGCTGGGGCGTACAGGGCCAGGAACAGGAGATCTTCGGACGGTCGGTGATTGTTCCCTCTTACTGGAGGAAGCCACGTCTAATTCAGCACCGCGTTATGTTGATGCGCTGCACAGTTTTTTTATATCATAATTTATATTCGGGCATGGGGAGTGTGAAGTCAGCTCCAGTCAAAAGGCTCAAGTCCAAGTGAAGTCGCGAGTCATTGGTGTTAAAGTCAAAGTCGAGTCGCAAGTCTCCTTTGATTTTGTCAAGTCGAGTCTAAAATCATCATTTTTGTGACTCGAGTCTGACTCGAGTCCAAGTCATGTGACTCGAGTTCACACCTCTGATAAGCAGCACATTTTGCTTAGTGGCTCCTTGTGTCTGACCTCTCCGATAACCGAGATGATTTTAAAACACGTTTTACCTTTACTGAAAGCTTAAAAGATGGCTAATTCCATGAGTTTAGAAGTTCATTCTTGACTGTGGAAACAAACTTTTAAGTTAACCTGAACAAGAAGTATTTAAAGTGCTCAGAATAATAGGACACGCATGAAAACTGGTCAAAGGAAGGAAGATTGTGGAAGTCGAAAGCTCCATACAAGATAATAACTTGTCGTCTATAAAATCAGAACACCACAGAGTTGGGTGACGCCTAGAAAGACCCGCAACAATCTTAATGACATGAAAAGTTAATAGATCAACTTAAAACAAGATAAATATAAATTTTATTTTTCATATATGTAAAGCTGTATACTTGCTTGTAATTTACAACCGCACAGACAGATTTTACTCTTTTGAGTGCTCGGCTCTGCTGCGTATGCAAAAAGACTAAAAGACTCTTCATTAAGCTACGTGACAAAATAATTGGAAGTAGTTAGCTGCACACTCCATTTTCTTGATAATTAGAATCACACTACTCCTTTCCAGAAGTGTAGGGTGTAACTTTGCACTTTAACACACTAACCTGGTCTCGTATAGAGTGACAGCGTCCGTATTCTGTGTCCGTACTAAAGGACACGCAGCCCACCAGCTTGGTGCCCGTCAGGGCGGTGATCCCGTCATCGTAGACGGCCAAAACACACAGCTCATAGTCCCGGGATGATGCCAGGTCGCTCAGCAGAAAGTACTTGTGGTTGGCTGGGATCATCCTGAAGGAGAGGAAGACATTTTAAATCATACTCATTAGTTAGTCAAAGATGCATCAGCCTCCATGCACTGAATCTGTACCTGTTATCACATGAACAACCTTCCACACCTGAGCTAACTCCATATGACCACAAGATGTGATTGGCAGCCCAAATAAATCTGGTAATTGGACGCTGTAGACGATGTATTTTCAGGCATCTTGGAGCCTTTTTGGGTGTCAAAGGTCATCATTCTCATTTGAAAATACACACATTCATTATTAATGATTCAGCAATTACAGGCACTGACATAGATTAACCACTGGACTACACAGAAGCAAAAATCTATTTCTCTTTTCACTGCGACTCTGACAGTTCTCCTAGAGAACAGGGGCGACAGACTGTAAAGATGTTTGTTGCTGTGTGTTAAACAGACAGAATGAAGGAACTGAATTCTGCACAAATGGACTTCTTTGTGTGACCACAAAAGTATTTAATTCCTCATGCAGTAAGTTTAAGAATGACAAAACTTTCAGAAACTATCAGAAAATGCCACAAGTTTTCACTGTTACTGGCATTAGGGAACTGAATCTCCCGACCCTGGCAGTCTCAGCGCCTTGCTATAACAATTCAGCTACACTAAGAGTAAAACCTGGGACCAGGGCAACAGAAAATATAACTGGGTTTTGGCAAATTCTTTTGGGACAAGTGCGAGTAAAGTCAGAAGCAGGCGCGCGGGAGGGCATTTTCGCTTAGCGGTACTGTACAGTAGAAATGCACGGATGACACGACTGTGTGTGGGCACGCACTTACACACTGTCCTTCAACACAACATGGTTACAAGCATAGTCGTATGAGGTCAGTGAGGTCTGGACCTATATGTATCAATAAAATCATTGATAACATGATTAACTTAAATGAAGGCCATGCAGGCGCAGCTGATTATACCGTCACTGACCTCATTCTCCACATCCAGTTTCCTCTGAAATAAAGAAATCACCTGGAATGTGACAAAACAATGCAAATAGTTGCTGACGTCAAATTATTAGGCTGTAATATAAACCAAAGCGTCCTCTGAATTCAGCACTGACCTGCTGTATTTATGTTGTCATGTATAATAACAAGTGCCCATTATGTAGTCCGCACATGTAATTTGCACACTGTGTTCCTCCCTGTCAACAGGGGGTGCTGCAGCACCCATCACACCCCCCTTCCCACGCGCTTGGTCACAAGTCTTCAGAAGCAATTTAAGCTGCATTTCGACCAAAAGAACCCAGGACTTTTCAAGGAACTAAAAGGTTCCTTCAGCCCACTGTTGTGTGCGTTTCCACCGCGGTCTAAAGACCTGCGAAGATTAGGCAAATTAACCAGCTGACGTAGGCTGTAGGCCTGCACGCCGTACAAAGCGATGCACAGGCATCATTATTTGTAACCACTATCCATGAGCAACATTTATAAATGAACATCAGATTTGATTGGAATATATTGAAAAACTACAGACTGTGCTTGACCATTAAAAACAGCTTTGTTGTGTGGGAGTAAAATGAGAGAGACACACGATAAAGTTCGTTACACATTTCACAACAAACTGGATAAAGCCATCATGTTCTTAAAATAACTCCAGCACAGAGAAAGAAACTCAAAAATAAAATCGTGACAGTTTGGAAGGTTATTAAAACCTTTCCATCGACGAGAGCTGCAGATCAACCGCGGGACTCGAGTCTGTGTCGCCTGAGCGTCGGAGGAAAGGGATTTCTAACGAGCTTTATTAACTGCTGTAATCAGCTGGTCCACTTGTTTTGGAGAAGATGAGAACGACTTCGGCTCCGTGTAAAAACCTCCTGACTGATGAACACTTAAAACAACTTCGGACCCAGTGTTTAGCGTAACTCCATCAGCTGTTTGCTGTAAACACACCGCTGCACGCTGGCTGCTATTTCCGAGCAACACATTTAATGCCGACGTACGATCTTGGGGACATCGCAGAGACTCGGGTTCTATTCGGCTGTTGATTGTGATTTTTATGTTTGCAAACAACGGTGGAAAAAAGAGGAGCAGTCGTAGAAAAACAGCCGACACGCTCGATTTAAAGCTAGCCTCAACTCGCCCATTCAGAAATTCACTGCAAGGCAAGCCCCACCCCCCAAAGGAACCGGTACTTTCGGAAAGTTTTCTGATCTCACAGCTTTCAAGTCTCGTGTTTTCATTTTACCAAGTTTACAGCCCTGGTGAACTATGATTGTTTATACTGAGCTATGCAATAATACTTTAGCATCACATGCTGCAACATAAACCACTGAGATTAATTTGAACATCTTTACCACATCTGAAATCTGGTTTCAGTAATTGCATTTTGCAAAACCACTTAATGTGAACTGTGAAAACTGCAGTAAATGGTGCTCCCAAGTTACCAAGACATTTATTATGAGCCATTATAATTAAGTCACTGCACTTTCAGAACTGTAAGCAGAATTTTTGACCTGAGTTACAGTAACTTTAAGTACGACTGGTTATGACATCAGTGACAGAAACATGGAACGACTCGCCTGTACACATCAGCCAATGTTTAAAGTCTCTTCTATTATTTTAAAAGCTCTTTTACTTGGAACAAGAACTTTGCTGTCAAATAAATTGCATAAAAATGATTTAAATCTACTGTGAAACTAATTTAAGAAAGTTCTCCGGGTCATTTTGTAAACGTTTTGCGACGACGGTGATCAGACAGTTTTGATTAGGTCTCTGAGATGTGAGTCGTATATGAGAAAAACCTGTATGGTAACAGCTGTGTTCATTAATGCAGGCAGACAAACTCTGTGTCAGTGGAGAGGGGAGGCCAGCACCTGCTATCTAAAGGAGTCCAGCAATCGAGTCTGAGGTCATAAAATCTACAGAGACAGAGGCCGTGGAAAACCAACAGCTTGTCCAGGATCATCTAGCAGTATTAAAGTACTTTCTAGCACAGACTGTAGGGCACATGACAACATGTGTTCTCATTTTTCTGTTAACTGGGTCGGAAATGCCAATACCTGAATGTGTTGTTTTTGTGCCATAATCAATAAGGTGATCTGTTGTAGTTACATTGCCATGTAGCTGTGATGCTGCATGTTGTGATTAATTAAATTGACCTCTAAGGGAACAAAATCAAACATCAACAGTCGAATTTCACATTGCATGTGTATTGTGACCTTTGGTGAAGTGTCAAGACCAAGACCAGAGTTTATCGAGACTGAGACAAGACCAAGACTTTTAGGGGCTGAGAGCAGTCGAGACCAAGACCGAGGGAGGGCGAGACTGAGTCAAGACCCAGACCAGTTCCCTGCATTGCATGCAATAAAATGTGGAACGAGATCATAGGTAGTTCTCAAATTGATCTGAAAGATCCACATTAAAACACCCACATACAAACACTAAGAGCTGAAATTAACGTAAGCATCGCAGGGAGGGGGGACAGCCGTTAACAGAAAAAACAGGTTTTAGGCTTATTGGTTGCATTTGAAGCAACAAGTTTTACTTCCAATCAAAGTTAGGATGTTAAATCAAATGCAAAAGCAATTTATTGATATTCCCAAAGTTATGGTCTTGACTGGTCTTGAAATAAAATCCCGAGTCCTCAATGTCCGAGACCGAGACAAGACCAAGTACAAAGGCGGTCGAGTCCGAGACGAGACCAAGACCATCAAAAAGTGACCGATCTCGAGTACTACAACACTAGTGTTACGGTGTTTATTTTTATTTTTGCGTTCTGTATTTTTCATCAGAGTTTGTCATGCTGGTATATTTTATCATTCTCAGTCCAACCTTTACACTAAATATGCTGCTGCAGACCTGTACCTTATCGTTCCGTCTCGGTTCGTCTAGATCTAATCAAGACGTGACAGCCCTCGTGCACTCATGTTTAGATTCTTGTATTGATGTTGCAGCTTTTGCTGGTCATAATGACTTCTGTTCCAGTTGTGCTGGAGAAAAACTGAAGTAGAGATCTAACACAATGTTCTGGAAAGAGAAGAGCTGGGGAGTTGTCCAATAAAACAAACGACTGAAGGTGAAGTTGAAAATTGAAGTGGAGAGAAAGAATATAAACACAGAGGGAAGACAGACAGCAAAAGAGAAGAGGGAATTGAGAGGGATGTTGCACCTTCAATTTTCAAGTTGAAGATATAATAGAACAAGGTAGAGTGAGATTAAAGATGGGAGGTGAGGATGACGGCGGTGAAAAGAGGAAAGAATAATATGAGGAAAGAAGAAGACACTGAGGAGGAGTGATGTGAGAGAGGAGACGAGGTGAGAGAAAAGAGAAAGATGGAGGAGGTGAGGGAGTGAAAATAAGGAATGTCAGAGAGGAGGCGGCAGAGGAACAAGGGGAAGATGAGACACAACATGGAAACAACATGGAGAGGCAGAGACATGAGCAGAGATGAAACGAGAAAGGCAGAGAGATGAGAATATACAAACTTTACATGTTTCAGTGATGCAGAGAGCAGACTTCTGTCAAGGCAGAACAATCTCCACTCTCAGCTCTTACAGTCAACAAGATAGGAATCTATTGACCCACACACACTTTTTAAAATTCATCCCCTTTTCACACTTGTTTCTTCGATATTGCCACTTATGATACATACATGTCAACAGTCCGGATCAGTTCACATACTATACATCTTATTTACCGGAAGCTCATTACTCGACACCATCTCTTTCACTGCTCACGTTGGATTAAAATGATAATCTTTGGCGCGTTACTACTACTTGCAACGAGCGGCTGTAGGGTAGTGCGGTCGTTCACTCATCAGAAGGTTGGCGGTTCGATTCCCGGTCCCCGCAGTCTGCACGTTGACGTCTCCTTGGGCAGGATACTGAACTGTGTGAATGTGTATTTCTGACTGGCCACTGAATTGGCAAAAAAATACGAGATTTGGATTAATGAATAAAGAAATATTGTACAAGCACTTGATTAAATTCCCAGATGACTTCTGTTATACTATACACATTTGAAAGAAATAAACAACACCAGCCCCTCTGACCTGTCT